CATGGTTGGGAGCCATGAGGGGCAAGGTTAGAACTGTTTAGGAGGGATTTTGAGGGGTACGGGCTCCTGGGGGCCATGAGAATATAGATGGAGTGTCATGGATACCAAAGGGCTTTTGTGGGGAGGAGGATCTCTTGGGTGAGGAATGCGGGGTAAGGAAGGACTGGAGTATTATGGGGGCAGGGAGGTGTAAGTGGAAAAAGGGATGGGGGTGGGGTGAAATGGGATGTGAAGAGGGTTGGGAGCAAGAGGCATTGTGTGTGAGAGAGGTCCAGGGGGTATGAGGGGCGGCAGTGAGCTTTGAATGCTCAGAGGCAGGGGAGGGCTCAGTATGGTGTAAGGGGAATGGTGGGATAACGGGGGACAGGGTAGTGCCAGAAGGCATTTGTGGGGCCTCCTGTACCACTTTAAAGGCAAAGCAGTGAGTAGCACTTTGGGGCCATGGTGGAGTGTCTAGAGGACTCACGTGCAGACAGCAGCTCTGTCTGACCAGGCTTGGGGAGAAGCATCTGTACCCCCCTAGCACCAGGTGCCTGCTCCATATTTGTTTTTGCTTCAATCATAAACTGAATAATATAGCCCTAGGCCTCTATCATATTAATAAAGCTTCTAATTTCATTTTAATTGTAGAAAAATATACATTGTGTGATGTGAAGATGCATCACACCTCCTGAACCCCTCTTTTCAAAATGCTAGATCCACTCACACTAAAAATAACACCAGAGAATAAAATTAAGGGCAGTTTTAACCTACAGAAAAAACTATACAAATAAAGTTAAGAGATATTTATTTTCCCCACACACAATCATATAGGGATATATGGATACAGATGGTTCATAGCTCAGTACTGAGCACTCCAAAATGGAAAATTCAACCAATCTGAATCATTTCATACTTTCTTTTTTAATTGAAAACATGGTTTCACAAAAAAGGTACACAATCCCACCCTTCTTAACACTGAAGACCAGTCTTTCGGGATAATAATTTATAAAGTATTCAATATCTCAAAAGCAGCAGAATGAAACATTTACCACAAAACACAAATCCAAATTTGAAGAAGCAGCTTAAGAAACTGGAGGAGAACTCTATGTCCACGTCTGTTTAATCTTTAGTTGCAAAGTCTGATTATATAAATCAGGCAGCTCTTTTATTGAATATCTTTTGCTAATCTGGATAATCGAGATACTTGCTACCTTCCTTAAAATAGGATAAAAATGGTGCTCACCATCCTAAAAATGTTGGACTCCCCATGGTTAACTTCTATAATTTCTGTAACCTTGAACCAGCAGTGAAAGCAATTATAAAGCCTTTAAATTATCTTAAGAATAAAACTAAGTATAATACAAATGAAAAGAAAGCATCTTTCAGAATTTTTTTTGAATTTTGAAATGGTTGATGTATGAAGCAGGGGACTTTAGGCTTGAATTTTCCGAGGAACTTGAGGGAAGTTTGCTCCTACCTCCCTTAAAAATCCAAAGCTCAATAGATACTCTGTAAATTTCCTTTGAAATTTCTATTGTAACTAGTATTTCCGGTTACTACTGTAGCTGGATTCCAAACAGCAATATGCAAGTAAGTCTCAATATCATTATAACAATCCCCAAACCATCTATTTACATACACACCTCTAGCCTCTGTAGCTGAAAATCATATTTAAAGATCTGAAAGATTTTCATAGCAGTTCACCACCTGAGGATGCAAGTCAAATTAATTGTAATTGGTTTTCCCCATTTCTGAAATCATCAATTGATATAAAGATCAGAGTTATTTAAACTTACAGATATTTTAGATTTTCAAGGTCTACAAATGCTTCATTAGGTATCCTTTTAATCTGATTGTTGTTCAGAAGCCTATAAAAAGGAAAATAATACATAAGTTGTTAAAACAGATTTTTTAATAAAAAGGATACGGAATATTTTGACAATATAACAATGTTTGAACAAGCCAAACATTAAAACCCACATTTAAAAAAACAAAAACAAATTTGCGGCATATCTATAATTGCTACCCAAAATAAAATTGATGTTTTTGTGGCTACTCTCTTTTAAACCCAAGCACGTTTGGATATTTCCATACAAAAACATTTAGGGATCAAAATTAAAAGCTTTTAAACTACATTTGCTTAGCACTTCCTTGAATTGGGACAGGAGTGTCCTCAACATATTGCAGGATTAAATCTAAAAATGCTTACAGACAATGTTTTTAAAAAGAAAAAAATTACATTGTGCATGCAAGGAAGACCTGGTTTCATGCAGGTTAAAGATGCAAGAGAAAAAAACCCTCTACCAACCGCTCCTCTAGAGCACTTACACACATTCAGGGAGGCTACTCTGACGTGCTATAAACCAATAGTGCTAATGCACTATTGCACTATATTATTAGGCTACTGTGCAGTAGCGTGGCTAAAAGGCATTCACCAGCACCACTGAGCAGTAGCATCTCATGTAGATGTGCCCATTGTGAAGTGGGTCCAATTAAAAGAAGCAAACTCAAAATAAAAAACTTGATCCTCGCTTGAGAGAACTCTTTGCAACAGGGACCTTCTTGCTATTAAGTGTTCAGTCAGTGACCAGAGAAGTATGCCTGTAATGGTTCATTTGGGCCACAAGACATTCTTGAAATATAAATAAATGTAATAAATAGTAATATTAATAATGATTCAAAGTCTACTCATTGCAGTCAGCTTTGAAACATGTCCTAAATGAATTGCTAAAAAATGTTCTTGTGTCCTTCTCTTAAGCATGTTAAGGGGAAAAAAAATCCAATTCACTGGTTATTTGTATATAGAAAAATAACCAAATTAGAAATCACTGTGAATATAAAAAATAAAACTGCCCATGCAGTTGAATGGAAGGGAAATAGGTTTACCTGTATTTCCACCTTCTATTTCAAAAGTTACATTTTAAGGAAAAGCAAGAAGATATTACAGTAAAAGGACTGCATGCATATTATTATCTGTATAATGGTTGGGCTCAAATGTTTTCTGTTCTGTTTAATACCTGTTTTCAGAGACCTCTAAAAAACTAACTTAAATTAAAAACGAAACTTAATAGGTTTTGCTATAGAGTGGCCTAGTCTATCAAGATAACAATATTTCAATGCATCTAAGCTTGGGGTTTGTAAAACTCATAAGTACTCCATACATTGTAAAACTGCAGTTGTAGACCATCTTTGAACAACTTTGATGTAATTGCCCATGGTAAGAAATCTGATGTTACTCTTCCATAAATTTTAAAACACCACCACAGTATTAAAAATCGAGAATATCTCACTATGTATTTTCATATCTTTCATTGAAATTCAATACTTTTTCTGAGACCTCTTAAGACTTAACCAAGTGTGTAGCAAACCTAAATCAAATGCAAAACATAGAAATGTACATGACTTCAAATCTGAGCAAAATCTTGGTTGCCTCAGGGGACTATCCCCATCAACTACTCAATTGAACTGCACTAGCAGAATTTGACACAATGTCCAGGTTCTAGTATTGGACTGAAAAGAGAAAGTGATTTTAAAGCAGAAAAATGACTTACAATGTGTTCAGGTTTTTAAGTCGTCTAAACGCAGGCTGGATTTCTTTAATTCTATTAAACCGTAGATCTCTGTGGAATAAAAAAAAAGACAAAAAAACCCCCAAAAACGTCAGTATATTCATTGGTATGAAAATGTTTTTCTTATGCAACTTTTTGAGACAAGATCCTCATCTTTGTTCATAGTTCAAGATCAAAGACGGAAGGAAAAAACCCAGTATTACAGGGACTTAGCAAGGGGGTTGACCTGAACTGGTGCAACTAGCCAAAGTGGCCTGTGAGAGGCAGTCTGTGAGCTGTGTTGAATACTAGTTGTTGACCATTAAGTGGACCATGAGGCGTGTAGACAATCTGCTATTTAGTAACACTTGTTGTACCTCTGTCTTCTGAAAACTGTTTAGCAAAACTGGAGAGGAAGGAGAATAATGTAAGTAAATTGAAGGAGGATTAAAAACAACTCTGTACGAAGACAATTAAAGCCCCTGCCAGACATCAGTTTAAACACACGATGGGATCTGAGGAATTGTCCCCCAGATCTCAACAATTTTACATCTTGCTATGCCAGTTTTTCCAGATTTGGAATGGCAAGATATGCAATTTTTGGAATCTGGGATAAACTTCCTCAGATCCCACTATATGCATGGACCTGGGCTCCCCATGCAGCCATAAATCCTGTGCTAAGCTGCATAGCACAGCTGTAACATGGCACACATTCCAGCAAATGTTTATAGCTGAATAATGTAACCCTGATTACACTCTGCATGTTTGATTATGGTTGTGTTCTGTAATATAAGTTTGTGCATTCTTCATCTGTATCCCTTCATTAGTATGCAAGTTTGAGGGAGGCTACTCACACCTGTTTTCACTGTTTTGGGGCTCGTATTACACTGTTTGAGGTTTAAGTGTACAATTGTAAAGGGTAGGTGGATCAGATTTTGTGCCCACTAGCTCTGTCTTCCAAAACTGTAGTTTGTAGGCACAAAAATGTTGTTAATGCAAAGTTATGCAAACGTAATTGAAAGGTCAGCCCTCACTGTAAGCTGTGATCTGCAGGAGGATGGCCCCTAGTTTTAGTGCCAAATTGATGTGCATAAGTGGGAGGATGGGAGAAGTTCCAGACAGGAGTCACTCCTTGAAACAGAAATGCTTCCGAGCACAAGACTCTTTAGTGGGTTTATGTGAAAGCCTGAGACTCAAGATAATTGAAAGAGCTGAAAAAAGTCTCTGAGGCTATCACTGACATCACACACGGTCCAAAAGAGCTGGGATTGCACAGCTACCTTAAGAGCACTTGAGAAGGAGCAGCTGTGACCCCTAGCAGCAATGGACAGGGCAGCACTCCCCAGCATCACTGCCAACAACTCCAGCTTCCCGACCTAACACTTGCTACTTTGGCTGGCATATCTGGTAAAACCCCCAGGGCAGCCATGGGACAGACTCCCTGTCCAACTGACCAGGCTAAGTGATAGCTCCAGGATTGATTTGCCAGTGACTGTGACTGACCTGTTCTGGGTTTTAGTTATGTTTCAATAATTTTCTTTAATGTTGTGTTTGCTCCTTTTATCTTTTCCTCTTGTAATAAACTCGTTTTGGTTTAACGTTTGCTTGCAAATGGGGAAGTTTGTTCACATTAGAAGACCCATTTAAATGTATTTTCCCAGGTTGCAGGGTGGGGGCTCAAGCTACATATGAAAAGTTGGTGAAAAACCCCTAAATTTGAATTTGGCCTGTGTTTACTGCTGTCCAGTGCCTGGCTAAGGTGGCCATCATAAGAGGACATTCCGGTTTTCTACTACTCTGTCCTCTATGGATACGAAACACAACACCTATATGTCCTCTATTTTTCTTTCCAAGAAGTCATGTTACAAGTCATGTTGAGTGAGCACATCATTTTAAGGTCCTGAATCTCCACTTTACATTTTATGCAATCATCTACCCTCATATAAAGTGGGAGAAAAACACTCAAAATTATAATGATAACATTTACTCAGAAGTTCTTTTCATCAAGAACATTCGTTCAGTAGCATACAAGTGCCCTACAAATATTAAAGCATTTATCTTTGCAACAGGAAATTGTAATTATCTTTTATTTTATTTTTTACAAACAGACAAGGCACAAAGAGATCAAGACCAAAACTGTCAAAAATGCCAACCCTTTTTAGGTAAAGATATCCTGTTTACAGACCACTGAGACAGTGGAGGCAGGGCTTCATCGTTTCTTTTAACTCAACATTGAGAAGAAGATGATATGATCAGTGCCAAACTAAAGACACCTTTATCTCCAGGTAGGTCCTGATACACACTGAATAGGAGGGTAGGTGAGCCTCAGGAAACGACTGGAAGTAGAAATGTTGAATAGAAATCCACCACCCTCACACAGGATTGTGATCCAGGTCTTTCTGGTTCATAGCCAGTCACCCTACCAACTCAGCTACACAGCTTCCCACTATGGTTGGGTACTCAACTCTACTCAATTTGAAACACCTCCTACCTGTGCATAAGGTGGCTATGCAGATGAGACTACGTCAATGGGCAAAAAAAGAAAGAAAGAGACATACAGACAAACAGAACTCTGGTCAAAAGGCACAAGCAGAATTACTTCTAAAAGAAAGTAGCCCTAGGCCACCTTAATAGCTGTCAGTATTATCTTTTCAGCTTACAACAATTAAAGCCATCATGCCTATGGTATTTTAAACCTTTGCTTCTAGCAGCCCTAAGAAAGGAATCCTCAGACTGTTCTTGTGAATCTTGGAGTTAACAGAGTCCAGTGCCTGAAGCACTCTGAATTGAACCCTTCTCCACTTCCCCACCTCCTTTTCCACTGTCAAAAACAGTGACAAAGACAAACTGTTTTACTGTCTGCCTCCTAGGGGAGCCACAAAGCATATATCCAGCCTGATTTTTCAGGAGATTGGTGGGGTTTTGAAGGGATTTCTAGAGAACGTGATTTCGGATTTAGTCTCCCCATTCTGCAATACCACTCATCCTCCCAGAGACTATGCTCTTCCCCATTTCCCTTCACGCATTGTCTCAACTTCTCCCATTTTGCTTTTGCAGAATGCCATATTTTCTCAATCAGAAGATGAGGGTCCCTCCCACCCCATTTAACATAGAGGGAAAAGGCCCATCGTTTTACAATCAAGCATAAGACCAGGGGGGCAGGCAGCTGCCGCAGCTCTGACACCAACCTAAGTTGGGGCTGGAGCTGGAGCCACAGCTGCTGCTTGCCTCCTTTCCCCACACTGCCTCTGCATGCCCTGCCATTCCTCCCTGGCAGCCCCCAGTGTCTCCCAACCCTCATCTTTCTCCTTCTCTCTTCCGCTCTACCACACTCCTCCTTACCTTTCCTCTGCACTTGCTGGCTCGGTCCTTGCTGCAGCCTGGGGCACAGAATATGGCTCCAGCCCAGCCCCACAGCAGTGGTGCAGAGCCAGAACTGCTGTTCCAGTCTGGCTGTCACTGCAGCTCCCCCCGACTGCTGCAACAGGGCAGCCAAGCTAGAACAGCAGTGCTGCCTCCACATGACTGCTACAGGGTGAGGCTGGAGCTATGCTTTGTGCTGTGGGCTGCAGCATGACGGACCCTAGAATCAGCACATCATGCTGCGAGAGCGGTGGGGGTGCAGGCACAATCACGGCTAAGCGAGCGTGGGGGTGGAGGGGGAACAAGATGGGTAGCAAAGGGCAAGCTGCCCGCCTCTCTCACTTCGTGCCCTCTACCACCTGACCCATTACTGCCCTCCACCTGCCCTACGACATGCCTCCCCAACCATCTGTCTCCTACCACCTGTCCTATGACTGCCCCCTCATCACCCCTTCCCCCACCACCTGCAGTCATGGGGGTGGATAAATTGAAGATGCTCCTCCAATAATTAGATTCTATACATGGAAAATTGATCATATATTTACACATTTTCTGTGTATAGAATCTAATTGTTGGGCAGCTGTCTTGTATTAGAGTAAATATGGTAATACCCCACTTTAGTCCATGTTCTACTGCAGGTCATAACAACTATCAGTTGAAGTGATACTGACACAGTGTAATAAAGGATCCCCCTGCTTCTTGATTGCCTTTGTTTTTCACACATTCCTAATCATATAAAGCAACAACTTCTGTTCCAAAAAAAAAAATTCTTGTAATGAAGGATTTATTAGAATTTTAAATAAAAAAAGACCATCCTTAAAATTACTTGCCATCTTAGTATTTAGAGCTAGTCAAAGACAAATGTCAAGTTTTACATCTAGAAATGAGATCACACGTCTCAAAAATTATTACTTTATGTACATTGTGATATTTTCATAGATGAGTTAACATGTCTTTTCATAAAATGTGCGCTGAATTAACATACATTTGCCTAACATACAAAATGGCCCAAGGAACAGTATCCCAAGAAGACCTCTTTCCTCCCAGAATAACTCCTTAGCTGTTTATAGCTTTCTAGCCTCATTTTCCAACACATTAAAGCAGGGCTTGGCAATCGACAGACCACAGAGCCATTAGGCCCCTTACACATATTACACTTTTAGACAATTAATTCATTAAATTCATCTTAATACTGACCTGGCCACACGTTCAATCAGTAAAACCAGGAACAAACAACAGCAAAATATGTGTAATAACCTTGTCGCTGGTTCCTGTCTTGTCCTTAATTAAATGCGTGGCCACTGCTCCTAGCCTCAGCAGCACCTGTCTGCACTCAAGGCTGGGACCTCCATTAGATGACCAGGGCTCCCAGCTTTGAGGAGCTGTTTGAGCTCCCAGTCTTGGGAGCACAGGGTGCACCTCCCCCTGGCATGTGAGAATCCCATAAACCCCCACACCTAGCAGGCCCTTCAGCTGACTGGAGCGTTCAAGAATGCATGGTGAACCCCTGGGGCTGGGAGCTCCAATCAACTGACGGGGCTCAGCCACAGTGTGGCATGGCACAAAGGGAAACTACTGGGATCACACATTAGATTCTCTCATGACATCTTTTAATGTCTGTTAGTGGCCTTAGATCCAGCCTGCAGACATGGACCTTCGGTAGCATTCAGCGGCAGGCGGCTTCAGATTGGCTGGAGGTACTCTCCCTGTGCCACCGCAAATGGAAGTTGGTTGTGTCCTAGCACCTGCCCCCCTCTGACCTGAAGTGGGTCATTCCAGGTCACTGCATTAATGGAAAACAAAATATTGGCTGCAACAAACTCCACTCAATTTAGTTTCGCTGCTGTGTAATACGCTTCCTTGATCTTCCCTACTACCTCTGAACCAAAACTTCTTGGCCACAAATGTGTGTGAAAAGCACTAGAATGGAAATCAAATATTATGCAGAAAAGGAAGATCAGGTAGGAAAACATTTTACTGCGCATTCTATGCTACAGTAATTGTATGTGTTTAATTGTAAATCTGTATCTTAGTGATACATGTTCTTAAATAAATGAAAATTTTAAGTGCAAAATGTATGATTATGCACTAAATATTTCCATTAATCTATAGTTAATATACAATTTGATATATTATTCATATATGAAATTAAAGTCAAGAACTGAATTCCATTTTAAATTTCCTTCTTCCTTGTAATATATAGATTTAAACACATCTCTAGCCAAGCAAAAGAGGAAGCTTGCATTCGAAGTACATTTTTACTACAGCAATAAGAACATTTGTTCCTTGAAAGAAGAATGTCCCCTTCATCACTAACATGCGTGCCAATACCACTCTCCCAATCCATGAATTCCTGACCCATCTACCAGTCCCATAAGCCTGGTAAAATGGCTCCACAGGCCAGATCTCTGACACCCCTGCATTAAAGAATTCTGTTTATCTGCCTTGGAGATGAATATAATGAACCTAAAGACACATAAGATACACAGCTACCACAGTCCTGAAGGAGGACTGGGCCTGCAACCTTTAGTATGAATCCCACAGATCTCTACTACTGTGGCAAAAGTAAAATCCATTTAAAAAGAAGGAACTGGAAGACTGCATAGTTCTGTTCCATAAATATCTGGACAAGAGGACAGAGAAGCCTTCGAGATTTAAACGTTTAAGAATGAGATAAAAGGGATAAACTTTTGTTTAAACTTTAAAACACTGAGATTACAACAGATCTTGGGAGGAGAAGGAAATGTTTTGCCATATTCCTGTGTTGCACAATAAACCTGCAGTGATACCAAATAAAGCAAATGTAAAAACAAAAACAAACAAACAAACAAACAAAATCAAACAATGGCTCATGTTATAGGTATTTGGTTTCATCTTCTACTCCAGTGGAAAACTTTTCTTTGAGTTACAACAGCAGGCTGTTATCCTCAGACATTTAAGTTACTGAAGGAAACTGAAGAGCTAACTTCAATGGAAGCCTTAGGAACCTAAACTTCGGTGCTATGGTACCTATTAATTAGGGACCTCAGCTCCACACTGGAATCCAAAACGCACCGGGAGGGTCATGAATCTCAAAAGGTTGATTCAAACACCCATACACTGAGGGACTTATGTGGTCCCTGTTTCTAACAGTATTACATTATTTCTGTCTTTTATTCAATGGCTGTTTACTATAAAATATACAAACAGTAATGGGAGTAGAGACCAGAAGCCAGGATTTCCGCTTCCTCACCAAGTGCCCCATCACTAAGCTACAAACTCAGGCTGTCCCTGTGCTCTCTCTGCTCCTGGCTCCATGAAGCAGGCTTCCCTCCTGCATGGTTGCACCAGGAGGTGTAAAGAATATTCCCTCACATAGAGTCAGCCTTGCCTGTAACCAGATGGGCAGGGCAGTCATGAGGAAGGTTGGAGATGTAGACTGAGACAGACCCAGAGACCCAGGTCTCCCACTTCCTGGGCATGTGTCCTACCCATGTGTTACTCTTTAAAAATAAGCTACAGCACCACCATCACTATTATTTAAAAATAAAGAAGCCATGATCACATCCTGTGAACAGCCCAATGCTATCATATACATTAGGAGTGCTCCAAGCTGGGCATTGAGGGCAGCAAGCGGAAGCCAACAGGGCCATGGACCAAGCTTGAGGAGGCTCTCCCCACGGCAGAAAGACAAGGCACCCAATTTGTTCCTTACACCAGAGTCCCAAGTGTGTGGAGCAGATAGGAGCTTTGCCATAACACTCAATCTGATCATCTACCAGTGCTTGGGAGCTGAACATATTGGTACATGGCCTGGACTAGTCCACGGCCCACTCTGAGAACTTAGGGCTGTTCTGCATAGTTTCTAGATCCCAAAGGGGCTTAAGTATGACTTCAGCATCAAGCTGCTTAGTCCCAGAAGTTCTGAGCATGTGCAGACATAGGAAATGCCAACATCTAGAGATCTTTCACTTTAGACCAGGGAGTTCCAGGCACCTTCTGGAAGTAGAGATCTTTGGGGGCAGGTTGTCATCAGTGTTGCCAACTGCCTGTAAATTTACAGACAGTCTGTTTAAAAATAAATAAATAAATAAAGTTAAAAATGCCTGCTTATAAAGCTCATAAAAAATTGAGCCATCCGTAAAAAAACCCAACAAAACTAAGCAACTAGAAATTTGATTTAATAAGCTATAGGCAAGCGTTGATGGACACACAGAGCAGAGCACCATCACCTGGGTCTAAAGGGAGCACAGAACCCTCCAGGGAATATTCTGTTGTTGTAGACCACAGGAGCCTTTGTAGCCCCCTCATGCCCCTAGCCATATGCTGCTGCTGAATCCCATCACCTCCCTGTAGCATTGCTGCACGAAAGGTAGGCAACAGTAGTCCTTTGTTGCAACCCCATGTTGGGAAAGGGTGGGGGGAGGGGAACAGGACTGAAAAGTGTAAGGCTGGGGATTAAACTGGCGGGGAGGGCAGCATGGTGCAGGGTGTGGTCAGAGCATCAGGGTGTGGGAATAAGTAGGGAACCCCCAGGTGGAGGAGCACGATGAAAAATCAGTGATGCAAATCAAGCAGGATTGCCAACCCAAGGTTTGTTTGTTTTTTACTGACAATCTGGAAACTTTTTACTGACAAGAAAACTTTTGTTTTACTGTGGCAGGTGTTAACCCCCCCAAATTTGAAGCTAGCCTTTGTCCAGGGACTTATATTTATATTACATAAAACATACATCAGTAAAATGAATTTGGTTGTCAGTAAAAGTTTGCAATTTTTCAGTTTAAAAAAAATAAATTGTCTTGGGTTGGCAACCCTGGTGCTCATTAAAAAAGGGTCTTCTTGAATGGTCATTTTGGACACAGACAACTGTAAAAAGACTCAGAAACATTTAGCTATCGCAGTCCTTTCGTAGATCTATCCACTACAATAATTAAATTTTTGCAATAAAAAAAGTGCTTTTAAAGCACACTAAAATAATACATACTAATGCTTTTTTTCATTTGGTTTGTTTTATAATAATCAGAAAATTCTTAGGGACTAGCAAAAGTGAAAGTGAAAATTAAGGTTGAGGCCTTCCCTACTGAAGTACAAATTGCATTTGGATTACTTTAAAAATATTTTTCTCCTTTTATCTAATTTACTCCAATTTTATTTTGTAGTGTACTGCGTGTGCTTAGCTTCCAAAGGCAATTAAGTAACCACACCAAGCTAAAACCATGAACATTTTTTAACCTGACTCTGGTAAAGTAGTACCAGTGACAACTTATATATACACAGAAGAGCTGAATGCAGCATTTGTGCTTTAATGTACTGTCGTCACATACTTCAAGCCTACCAGATCAAGCCGTGGACTTCCCACATCTCCCAATCACTTGAAATTAAGAGCTAGCTATTAGTATATAGCAGAAATCAGAAATAAAGACAGTTTTTTTAGTCCGAAGAAGAGTAAATGGATAACACCTTGCTAAAAATCCTAACAACCTGAAGTTGAAAAGGAGCCTATCTGAGTACTGATCCTGTTTCTCACAGTTAACCCTTACCTTTTCATTTTTGGCTAATGGATATATATATTAAAAGCTGCATGTTGCCCTTGAAATACTTCAAACCAATAGTTTAAAAAATATATTGCTATGTTCTCTATTCTGTCAGAAGGACCTGGGTATCTAACAAAAGGCAACTCTTTAACAAGAAGGAAAATTGGTGCATTAAATTATTGCTCAGTGTATACCCATCTCATGATGGGTTATCCAAAAATCAAATCCATAATGCACCTAAGTAAACCAATAGGTTCTAAGAAATAAAAGTTCTGTTGAACCCAAGTTGTGGATGACAGGCACAATCCTCCCCACACAAGCCCTCAAGCTATATGAAGCATGTTTGGTTTTGGCTGGCAAAGTCATACAATTCAAGAAGGATGTAGACAGTTTGGAAAGAGTCCAGCACAGATCAAAAAAACACGATCAAAGGCCTGGAAGGTAAGACTTATAAGGAAAGACTGAAAGAGCTAGGATTATTTTGCCTGGAGAAGAGAAGGCTGAGTAGAATCACAGAGAGGGTGGAAATGGGCTTTTCTCTGTGGCTACAGGACCAGGAGCAATAGTTTCAAGCTGCAGCAAAGTAAACGTAGGCTGGAAATTAGGAAGAACATTCTGACTACGAGGGTGGTCAAGCATTGGAAGAAGCTACCTAGAGAAATTACACTATCTCCATCCATGGAAACTTTCAAAGAAAGTTAAACAGACCCTTGGCTGAGATAGTTTAGTCAGGGATTATCCTGCCTTACGGAAGGGGCTGGACTACATGACCTTGTGAGATCCCTTCCAGCTTTACTTTCCTATGATTCTTAATTGTGGATCTCTACTGTTCCACAGGATAAATCCACAATTATCTTACAACCTGTCCAACTTGCATCACATTTAACAGTCACCAGGTGCGTCTACATGAGACGCTTACCCCATGGTGGCCCAATAACACAGTGCAGTAGCAAGCCAGTCAAAAACTGTGCTAATAAGCTGCTGCACCGTGTTATTAGCAGGGATTTGGGTTTTCGGTTTCCCACAGGAAAAAATGCTGATTTCCCCTTTTATGCAAGGAAAGTACAGATTTTTCATTTTAATGGAGAAACACGTGGATTTTGTACTTTTACAAAAAGCTCTCTGCAGGCTAGCAGAGTTCCAGCCTGCAGGGGGCTGGGAGGAGTGGGGGGAGTGTGGTCAGGCAGGGGGCACCTAGAGAGCAGCTCCCGCAGGTAAGTCTTGGGGGGAGGGCACTGGGCAGGGCTGGGGCTGTTGCCCACTTGGACGGTGCATGAGGCTTGGGGCCAAGGGTCGGAATGAGTGGCCACAGGGCCCTGGCAGGGAGCAGGATGGGGCCACAGGTGGCTTATCTGGGGTGGGGGGCAGCTCCCCACTGCTGCGTGCACTCCTGGAAGGGACAGGAGGGCAAAGTGTCCCCTGCCTGCCCAACATCAACAGGGTGACAACGCAGAATTGTGCCCCTCGTTCCTTCTGGGCAGGCAAGAGGCATGTCCCCAGGGCAGTGTAAAGCTCACAGCAAGGAGCTTCCCATGTTGCACTGGGTCCCACCCGCTGGGCTGCAAAGGTCCCAACGGATGGCAGCAGGGTGGGGAGTCCAAGCCCAGAGCAGGCAACCCACACTTGCCCCCATACTGCACACACGTCTGGGAGCCACAGGTTCCCCCTGTCCCCTCTGGGAGTGCCTACAGTGATGGGGAGTGCACCTTCCCACCCAAGCCTGCAGCAGGCAGCCCGCCCGCCCCACCATGGGCGAGGGGAAACTGGGCTCTGAGATCTGCTATGCTCCAGCAGCCACCACCTCCCATGGGAAGCAGCCGAGGCTTGGGTGTTGCTGTGGGGGGCAAGAGGCAGGTCCCTGGCCCCATAGCCCTGGTAACTGGGAACCCCCTGTGGCATGGCTGGGGGGCAGAGGGCTGGAGTGGGGGGCTGTGGGTGGGAAGTGAGGGGCACCTGAAGGGCCAGGGGGCTGTGGGTGGGGAGCGAAGGGCCTGGACATGTGTTATGCGAGGTAAGTGGGCAGGAGGAGCTCTGATTTTCCATGATAAAAAACCCAAAATCAAATATCAAAATCTATAATTATTTAAAATTTATTTTATTATTAGTGACTGAGGCATTAGTAGGCTTCCAAACATGTAGACGTGCCCACACAGTATCATGGCTTAACTGTAATAGTAGCCTTATCTTTTGGGCCTTACTTGCCTCCTGATTACATGGGTAGTTACTTGGGGGTCAAATATTTACTGTTGAATAAGTAATTCCTCGAAAATGGTTCCCTGATCAACCAAACCACAGAAATATCAAGACCAAGAATGCCAAAAATAAAATCCGTTAATTCATATAAATAAATAACAATTTTATACAATGGAGACTTATTTACAGAAAACTGACCTTTGTTATTACACGTTACTTATATAAGGAGGCTTTAGTTAAAAGAACCCATCAAAATTGCAACAAAAATCTTTATATGCAATAGATATAGGATGACATTTATGAAAATAAGGAAATGCAGTATGTACCGATGCAAAATCAAAGTACATTTTGAGTACTATATAGTATCATGAGGGGATGTATATGTGCTTTTTTCACTGAGTCATATACATTTTTTACTATGTTTAGTCTTCTATAAATGAATGGTAGCTCACATGAAACTGCATTCAAGTGCTCTTCAGATGAATTAACTTAAACAAAACAAAGAGTACAGGCTATGAGAAATACTCAGAAATCTTGCACTCGGCCTGAACAAATTGTGGGAATAACAGCTGAAAACATTCCTGACAAAACTAGCAGTAGAGCCACAGTGAACAAATGAAAACCAAAACCAGAAATACTATCATCATAGAGTCATTTCCTAGACACAATAATGAGCTTAATAAAACAGAACATGGGAAAACATGTAGTTTCTAGCTCCAACAGCTGGACTGCACCCACATTGTTTGCATATAATACTATCTGCAAGATCTTGAAGATGAGTAAATCAAGAAGAATATGTTTATTTTGGAGACCCTCTCTTTTCTTACATTAAAAATGCCTGGGGATGAACTTATCGTTATGCATGTGCCAAGATTTAGATAAATGTGTAGATTTTCATCTTTTGTTTTTTACTTGGCCTTTAAGTCTTTGTATTAAATCCGAGTCCCCCTTCATCTGAAAAGCAAAATTAAAAATAATCAAAATGGAGATTTACCTCCTTTACTGTTTTCACCCCGTGTTGGCAGAGGCAGGAAATGGTCAAATGTTTTTAAATCAAATTTTACACTTGGAAGTACAAATATAATGTTTTATGAGCTAAGCTTTGGAAAAATCTTTTCTATAGTATCAAGATTGCACAGGATCCCCATCCCTATTTTATTCCCTAATCCCCTGCATCACAACTGTTCTTCCAGCCAAAGTGGAGATAAATTCTTCATTTGCTCGCTAATACTGGAATGCAGTTAGTAAAACTCAACTGAACACAGAAAAACATCTGACAACCTCAGTTTGTGTGAGCACTTTCAAAAATTACCCTGAAACAATATTTACATTGTTTCTGGCAGTGCACCAGTCTCAAATGCGACTGACTACCTATTCCATTAATTAAAAAATGGGTTATCATAATCATACATTAAAAATATTAAGAAAATTATTAAAATATCTGTGGAAAGGATAGGTAGATTACTAGATTCGTCTCTATATAATATCCATCGTGTAGAAAAGAGAGAATGAAATCGCGTAACATCAGAATTAAGGCTGACAAAATATTAAATCACTTAAAGTTATATTTGTCCATATTAGTGTAAGACACATAGTAGAAGAGGTAGTCTCTTCTTTTTTCATAAAAAAAGTAGTTACGTATCTTTTCTTACTATGTGAACCTGGCAAGTCACCACAATCACAAGATGGAAATGCTTCACAGGAGTATTATCAACACAAAAATGACAAAGATCATTAGTAGCTCAGATATCACAGTAGTGGATGAGATACTTGTGTAAATTCCAACCAAAATTTTAACTGTCTTCAGTTTAAAACTTTTCCACGTAAGTACATGTAAATAACATACTATTATAATGCAATCTTCAATGCTTTAACCTGATAAATTGAAAAAAACTGTACTTTGATTCCACATGAATCAGTAGAGATGCAATTCTTGTTTCTGTTTCCAAAGAAGGAATTCTAAATATATTTGATTGTGCCTTTCACCCATCACTGAACCTTCTCCGAAAACTTCCATATAGCAGACGTGTGGGGGAAAATGGCATATACAATATGATGCATTTTCCCCTCAGAATGTAACAGTATTTAAGAAACACCAAGCAGCATTAATTGGCAATTCCTCCCATTGCATCATGTGCAGTTTTTCTTAAAACTAACTGTTTATATTCCTTTCTCAAGGAAAAAAAAGGAAAATCTCTTTAAAGAAAGAAAAATAATTTAATGGACTTTTTTTTTTAAAGAATTATAGATACAAAATAAAAATCAGTAGTCAAATTACTTTAATTTTATTAGCTATTTTGGTAATCCTTAGATGAAATACTTCAGAACAGGGAAAATTTCAGTGGGAATTCAACACAAATAGAGAATTCAGTGGGAATACACTATGTAGTTGGACAATTATTCAAAAAAAACAAATAAAGGAGAATACAGACCAATTACTCACCAGCAGTAGAAAAACCTCTAATATAAATGCCAAGCCACTTGGCTTCTCAATGCAGAACAAAAGAACTGCAAATGCCAGCAAGACTACATTGCTTATGCCTACTTTATCCTTCCTTTTTTATTCAAGGTCATCCCAGCAGGAAATGAAAAACAGCCATCAGCATAGTAAAAACATTCAAACAGAACAGAGCATGAAAATTACACAAAAGAGGTTATATAATCAAGTCAGTGCAGTAACTGGATAATGTCAATGGCACTTTAATGCTGCTTTGACTACAGCCCTGTTAAAAATGTGTCACTTTGTTGAACAAAGACAAGTCCATTGTTTTTTTCGTTTCTCAATGAATTTTTAAAGTATATTACCTACATCTAATTTCCC